GCATCTGTGGAAGAGAGGCTCTGGCAGTCAGGGATACAGGCGCTGCTCCTGTGGGGAGTAGCTACTTTGCAATTTGATGCATTCATTCCCTGGTTACAGGCATTCTTTCAACTCCTTTCACAGCTCTGGAGGCTTCTGTGTTCCAGCTTTTTATAATCACATCTCCTCTGCTGCATGAAAAGACAGCTATTCATCCCAGCAGGCAGCAGCCCTGGCTATAAGGCAGGCATTAGTCATCAGGGATTCTTCAAATAAACACAACTGCCAGGGGCAGACCTCTAAACCAGTCAATTATGGTACCTGCCCCAGAACTGCTGAAGGCTCACTAACAAAGCCCTGCCCTATGGGGGGTCTCCAGTCTCACCCCATCTTTGAGCCTGCAGCCCCACATCCCATTGTAGGAGCTACTGAGTTTCCTAAACACATCCTGCACATTTGTCTGTGGACAGCAATAACTGCAACTCTGCAATGTTCCAAGCGGCCCGGGCACTCCTGAGACCCTGGGAGAACACCGCAGGTCAAGGAGAGGGCCCACTGGACTCCTCTTTCCTAGTCTCCACCTAGAACCCGGCAGACACAAGGGTGTGCGGGGACCAGGAAGGCCTGGTCTTCCTCGTTCTGTAGAAGACAGAGCCAAGGCCAGCTCCAGATGCCTGACACAAAAGAGGCTCATGAAGGTAGCCATGGGTTACAGAAAGTGGATTTAAATGCAGGAAAGGAAGTTATGCTAAGAGTATATTCATGTTGACACCATTCAAAAAAAAAGAATAAGACATTTGTGTATGTGTGTGTGTGAGAGAGAGAGAGAGACCCCGCAGAGAGAGACAGAGACAGAGACGACGGGGGGGGGAAAGAGAGAGAGAGAGAGAGAGAGAGACAGAGAGAGAGGGGGGGGGGGGGAGAGGGAGAGAGAGAGACCCCGCATACAGCACAAATGTAGAGATCAGAGGACAACTTTCAGGAGTCTGTTCTCTCCCTCTACCAAATGGGTCTTGAGATGGAACTCAGTTGTCAGGCTTGGTGGCAGGCCTTTTTACCTGCTGAGCAATCTTGCTGGCCCTGAGGTCATTTGGGGGAGGAGGGTGCTGGTATTTTTGTTGTTTTTTGAAGATTTTATTTTTTTGTTTTATATAATTGTCTGTCTGAATGTGTTTGTCTGTGTACCATGTACACAGGGAGGCCAAAAGAGGGTGACAGATCCCTGGGTACTAGAATTACAAAGAGTTGTGCACTGTCATGTGGGTGCTGGGAATTGAACCCAGGTCCTCTGGAAGAGCAGCCAGTGCTCTTAACTGCTTAGCCAGTCCCGAGATCATTTTTATACAGAGAAAACAAACAGTTTAACCTAAATTAGTAACAAGATACCAGGACACGTTCCTTACTGAAGTATTTTCAGACATTTACTTGAAAACAGCACTCCTCCACCTTGGTTTTTGTGTTTGGAGCTACACTTCCTTCAGCTTACCTCACAAGGAGTCAGAGTGAGGAGCAGGTCCAGAGCCTAGATCTGAGCCCAGCTTCACTGTCCTGCCACCCACCGTGGCTCCAAGGACTCCTCAGACTGCTGTGAAGCTCTCAGCCGATCAACTCCAGCACACTCTAACCGGACCAGCAGTGATCCCAAGAACCAGACTAAGAACCTACAGAGAGATGCTGCACTCACTAACTTAATCCGAGACTCTCGAGTCTAAGGCAGAAGTCAACAGGGCACAGCCTGCACTAGAGCGCTAAAATCACTAGAGCCAAGTGTAGGTGGGACAGCAGGATCCCATCAGAGATGGATCAGGGGTCATTCAAACCACGCTCGCCACTCTACACACACCCATTCACCGGAGCTCTGCTCAGACCGCTCCCCCAGGTCCCACTGCACTCGGTGTGCTTGGGCTGCGGTCTTATGGTAAGCAGTGAGGAGGGCCACCAGGCAGGTAGGTTATGGAGGCTGTTTTCCCGGGCAGCCCCTGGCTTTTGCCCATCAGCTAGCAGGAGAGTGGCTGCCCCAGGAGCCACACACTCTCCCAGTTACTTAACCCAAGGCTCTTCTCAGGATCACTTTGATAACACTTAAAACCAAAGTTGCCAGAACAGTGATTCCTTCTAGAAAGTACTAAACAATGTATTTACTGTATGACATCACAGAACTTGATATGGAGCCCCAGATCAGTTTGTTGACTATGCAAGTGAAATGGAATGTCAAGAAGTTTTAACCCTTGCACTGCCTTCTAGTCCTCCAGATACTCCTGTTCCAATACAATCTTCACATAAAAGCAAAATCCTCACACTGAAAATCAGATCTTTTTTTTTTTTCTCTTTAAACCTTCAACAGTGACATCAAAGAAAGGCACCACCTAGTGAGCACTTGGCCTGGGGGACAGGCCTACTCTGTTCCAGACGTGGAAGGAAAGCAGAAGCAAACCGTGGTGCTCTGAGTGCAGAGTCTTTCCACCTATGCGGTTCCCTGCTTCTCTTCCGTAAAGGGAGGCTCCATGGCACCTCCCATCCCTTTCAACACTCACTACAAAGTACATGCTTTGTTTTCTGAGGCAGGGTCTCAACAGCTCAGGCTGGGTACCACTCCTCCTCAGCCTTCCTAGTGCTGGGATGACAGGCTTGCTCCATCACCTCAGCTCTAACGTGGCAGGAACTTAAAAAAAGAAAAAAAGTATGGTTTGGATCAAGAATGTTCTCCAGAGAACTCACTGTGGAAGGGTTGGTTTCCAGCTAGAGGAGCTACTGGGGTTGGGGTGGGGTGGATAGGTTCATGTATATAGCCCTGGCTGTCCTTGAACTCACAGAGATCTGCCTGCCTCTGCCTGAAGTGCTGGGACTAAAGATGTGCGCCACCACACTTGGTGGTGCTAAGAAGGGACTAACTACATCACGAGAGACTAACCTTACCAGTGGATTACTCCACTGACCAACCTTCAGTTCATAGCTAAATGGGCTACTACGGGGTGGGGCCTAGAAGCAGGAAGCAGGTCACCTCCTTCGAAGGGTGTACTTCTGTCCTTTCCCTCTCCTCCACTCACCTCTCCTGCTTCCGTGGCTGCCCGAGCGGCCCTGAGGTGAACAGCCCTGCTTCTTTAAAGTTCAGTCAAGTCGAGAGCCAGGCAAACACGGACTGAAACTGAGAGTCAACTGCCATGTCAAGTACGTCACAGCAACGTCACAGCTGACACACAGCGCAGTCCTCTGAACAAGCGGCCAGGAAGACCATCCCAAGGACAGCGGAGAAGGGCCTGCTCTCCCTTAGGGCACACATCTTCCTCTCCCGAAGCTGCCCTCACTGCTTGACATTCCAAGACCACCCACCTAGGTTTTGTAGACCGCACAGCATCAGGCTCTGGGGGAGACATCTGTGTCGAGAGCTGTGCTGAGATAACTAACCACACACTTGTGTAAGCAGGCCCCGTTAAGTTTGCACACTACATTATCACAGGTTGTGAATTCCGGGATGCACGCCCTCCTTTGATTCCCCACCGTGCCTGGGGATTTTCGTGCACGCCTTTAATCCCAGCTATGAACTCGTCAGTGGAGTAATCCACTGGTAGGTTAGTCTCTCGTGATGTAGTTAGTCCCTTCTTAGCACCACCAAGTGTGGTGGCGCACATCTTTAGTCCCAGCACTCCAGGCAGAGCCTGGTGGATCTCTGTGAGTTCAAGGCCAGCGTGGACTACAGAGTGAGTTCCAGGACAGGCAGAGCTACACAGAGAAACCCTGTCTCCAC